AACCACTATGGGGCCTATGGGTATTGACATGCTCCAACTCAGCATGCCAGTGATCGAGAGTGTGATGCAGAGCGGAAGAATGGACGATAAGTGGAGTTGGTAGCAGTGCCTCTGACTTGTCACCTTGCTTGGCTTGCCAAGGCCACCAAGTATGCAGTCCGTGGGCATATCATCTTAAAAGAGCCAGGTGCTCAGATGTCACCATGTGGCACCCAATCATAGGGAACTTTACACTTAAAGGCATCAGCCCCCATGTGATGTGTCGCGTACGCAGCACATGGCACGCAGTGACAGTTTTGAATTACGTTTGCAGATGTTTGCAGCAACTGCCTGTGCGGAGGGCATTCTTAGTAGGACTAGATTGGTTAAAGGCCTTGAAAGAGCTTGACAGTTACCACAATGTAAGAGCAGGAACCTTCAACCCCTTGCGATACGGGAGCCGAAAAATATCTTGAACCAGATCTCAGGAGTGATGAAGCCATCGCACTGGCTGCCGAAGCAGCGACTGCCCAAGACTGTCGAGGGAATTGAGAAAGGCTGCTTATGTTTCTACTGATGGGCAGGATTCATGCGAGTGTTTGTGGTTGCCTAAAAAAACTCTTACAACTACTTTGGGACTATATGAGATGTGGGCTCCCGTCCTTCCAAGAATGCAAAGTAAGTTGTCAATGCGAGAATGCAAAACGGCCCGTGTCACTATGCCGGTTGATCTCCTTGCTCAAACAAGAGACTTGGAAGCGAGCACCTCACCTCGCACTCGCACCCACAGGACCCACGAAATTCAACATCACCGTTTGCTTCATCAGTGGCCTTCTGCCCATGGCTTCAGCATCTCGCCCGCGGTGGGGAATTCTGGGAGCTGGTGGAATCTGCAATGACTTTGCCGTAGGCTCGGCCGGTTGGTGGTCGTGCCATAATATACCATAAGATATACTGTACTATAGTATACTCTGCTATCATATAGTTTAATCTGCTATAGTATAACATTTATGTTACAGCATATAATGTTTTACTATGATGCAGGTGGGCAGAGAGGGTTGCTCCAGTCTTTCGGGCTTTGCATTCTATCGGGCTGTGCAGCACGAATGCATGGAAGTCGCACGTTTGTCTCTTATTCTCTGCCAGTGTCTTCATCTCGTTGTCTTCGTTTGTACCCCTCTCTGTGTCTCTCGCTCTCTCTCTCTCTGGGGCAATCTGCTCTGCCCGTCTCTATATCCGTGCGCACGCGTGCGCGGGCTCATTTAGCTTCTTGTCCTGCCGCGTCGCTTTAGCTCACTTGCATACTTGTGCGTCGAGTGCCCCAGGCATCGTCATGGCCGGGGGATCCATCTCGGCGGTTGGTGCCAGCTCGGTAGCCAAGGCCGAGGTGCTGGCGGCAAAAGTCAAGGCAGGGCAAGCGCACGGATCCTACGAAGCGCTTGTGGCCGATCCCACTGTGGACGTGGTGTATATCGGTACAATCCATACCATGCACCGACCTCATGCGCTCATGGCACTGGCTGCTGGAAAGCACGTGGTTTGTGAGAAGCCACTCGCTGTGAACGAGGCCGAGGCAAAGGAGATTATTGACACTGCCCGAGCTAAAGGGCTGTTTCTCATGGAGGCCATGTGGACCCGGTTCTTCCCCCTGACACGAAAGGTGCGAGAGATCGTGGCAGGCGGTAGCCTGGGGAAGCCAAGATGCTTGCAGGCAGACTTCGGATTTGTGGGCCCATCAGACGCCAAGCACCGGCTGTGGGACCCAAACCAGGCGGGGGGTGGCATGCTAGACATCGGCATCTACCTCGTGCAGCTCGCGACGATGATCTTTGGGATGGCCACGGCTGATGTGAAGGGCACCGCCGTCTTGACCGAGCAGGGAGTGGACGCTGAGGGTTCCCTGTCAATCTGTTGGAAGGACTCAGGTACTGCCAGCTTGATGTATACTCTTCGGGCCGTAACGCCAGAAAGGGCTTGCATCATGTTTGACGGCGGGTACCTCACGATTGAGGGCCCGGCTCACACCCCAACGTCCGTGACAGTCTCGAGGTCAGACGGAGCTCGAGGGAAAGTTGAGCCTGAGACATACACCGTTCCCTTGCCCTCGCTACCAAACGGGCTGACGGTCAACTACCCATCCTCGGAAGGAATGGTTTATGAAGTTGAAGCTGTAGAGGCCTGTCTGAAGGCAGGACAGCTGGAATGTCAGGAATACCCCTTGGACGAGAGCCTTACAGTGCTCCGGATCATGGATGCTTTTCGCCAACAAGTGGGAGTTTCCTATCCGGGCGAGCAGGCGTCATGTACAGTTTCATGATCCCTTTTTCCTTGTTCTCTAAACCTAAAGCCCTTTCCCCAAAACCCTATACCCGAGACCCCAAACCCAAAAATGGCCCTATAAACCTTCAAATCCTCCCGAGCCTCGATGGTAACCCTAAACCCTAAACCCTAAACAATGGACCTTTGCGGCGCGAAGTCGAAAGCTCCGAGCTGCTTGGGCTCAGGTTCGGACCCCAGCGCCGGCACCCATTTGGGAGTTTCCGAAATAAGGGGTACCTTCTTTTGGGGTTCTTATAATAAGGATCCTACCATTTGGGGTACTATATTAGGGTCCCCCATTTTCGGAAACCACCATTTTTTGCCTGGTTCGACGAGACCAAAAAGATCCAAAAAGCCAGCAACGTTGTCATAGGGTTTAGGGTTTAGGGTTTAGCTGATTGGCAGAGTCTGGGTTCAAAAAGGGTTTAGTTGGAACTAGTTTAGTTGGATCAAAATAGCTGTTGCTGCGACACAAGACTTCAAAACAACAACATCATCATCAACAGTGCAGCACCTCCAATTGTGCATGGTCACCTTCATGGTTGGTTCCCTCACCGTTCATCGGTCACTTTGTGCCAGTATCTTACGTTCATAAATTCACTTGTGCATTTGGCATGCATACATTTTACATACACATATACATATATACATACATGCATACATACATACATACATACATACGTACGTACATACATACATACGTACTCATATAATTCAGGGTATATGGACCTCTGTGTATATATATATATACATATGTATGTGTCCAGT